ATGATCTAATCACTTTACCGGGTGTCTACCACTATTCAGTCTAATCCATGCACTTTTAAAAACTTCTTAATATCTAATATATACAGCTGCTTAAACAGATGTCTAGACGGTTCCATTGATTAAGGATTACCCGTAGCATATTTTTCTGTAATATGGCTAACTGCACTTGGACAGCTGCTTAAACAGATGTCTAGACGGTTCCATTGATTAAGGATTACCCGTAGCATATTTTTCTGTAATATGGCTAACTGCACTTGGATAGAATCAGCGGCCGCTTCCCAAGCTATGATTTAGAATTGTAAAATAGCGTCAACTAATCCACAGTATAATATCCTAAATTTATCTATCGGCAAAAATCCTCTGACTGTTACAAATATGTATACTAACTTCCATGTTTTTAGTTAAATCTAATATATGGGGCCTTCAATTTAACCAGTTATCTATTGTGACTCCTAAGTATTTAACTTTATCTATTCTATTCACGTTGGAGCAGTTACATCGTTGGGGTTAGGATTAGGTACAGTTCTTTTCATGAATGCTGAGAGCCGCAGGAGTTGGCTGGCCTGTAGTATAGCGCGAGAATGTCATATAATTTGTTTTTATAACATTAAGTGATAGCGTGTTTATATCTAACCAGTATTTAATGTTGTTAAGTTCTCGCTCTGTAGTGCTGACGGTATCATCCCAATTATCACTTGCATAAAACAGGGCTGTATCGTCGACAAACGCAATTAACCGTCCGTTCAGTGCTAAGCTGCATAGATCATTTATAAATATAAAAAGAACTGGTCCTAAGACTGAACCCTGAGATATAAAGTAAACTGGTCGCTGACAATATCTGAGATCTACTCGGCAAGTAGTTTATAAACCAATCTAAGATATCAAACTTCTATATTGTACAACTTAACTATCAATTTAGATTGCGACACCATATAAAAGGCCAGGAACACGGATGCCGGCTTCCTACCCTTGTCCACCTGATCGGTAATGTATGTAGTTACTTCCGATATTGAATCTTGAGTATCTAAACCCTTCAGAAATCCATACTGATTACTTGATAATTTTATATTATTTTCCAATAATTCTACTGACTTTTTTAAATAATTTTTCCAAGACTTTAGCAAGATTTGACACTATTGAAATTGGCCTATAGTTGGACAGTAGTTTTGGATCGCCATTTTTGTATATTGGGGTAAAAATAGACGTTTTTAATATATCATGGAATACACCACTATTTATACTGAAGTTCACTATATGTTTTATGGGTTTAATTATACCCTTGATGTTATCTTTAAGTATTTTGACAGTAATGCAGTCGTGTCCTGGATCTGAACTCCCCCTCAGTTCATTTATGGCTCACTGTACATCCCTATCTGTTACCATGCATCCCTCCAGTACCAGGCTATCTAACCTCCTCCAGCCTCTCCTCATCCATCCCTACCCTTTTACCTATTTTTTCTGCCATCTCTTTCCCTACTGTTGTAAAATATTCACTGAATATATTTGCTCCATGTTTTAGATTATCTACTAAGTTAATTTCATTACCATTTTTCCTATCAGATAATTTGGTTATTGTTTTTATTGGTTCAGCTCGCTTATAAATTGCTAAGTTTATTATTTCCCAAATCTTCTCAATGTTAGTATTATTTTCCGATATTTTGTTACCATAATATCTACTTTTTACTTGTTTTAATAAGCTATTTAAATATTTTTAAGTGCAAGTTAAATGGTTGTTTGCAGGATTTTTTACTTTTTCTTTCCATCTAATCCAAACCAGTAAATCATGGGTTATCCACGGCTGTATTTTTCGATACTTCGAGTTAGGAGAAGACTGTGTTAGTTGTTAAGTGGTTTCAAGCAAATGTAAATTCATTACAATCACCAAGTTATTTATACTAATATTTACATCATTTACCATTAACACCGTATTCCATGTTTCTGTCTTGGGAATTTCAGTGAGTCGCGAGTAATTAATTATTTTAGTTTTTACAATAAGGGGATTGGATGTACATACATTAATTAATTATTTTAGTTTTTACTATAAGGGTATTGGATGTACATACATTAATTAATTATTTTAGTTTTTACAATAGGGGTATTGGAGGTACGTACATTAATTAATTATTTTAGTTTTTACAGTAGGGGTATTGAAGGTACGTACATTAGATGTTTTGAATCAATATCTACAACTGTAGAGTAGTGATCCGTAATATTAGTTTTAAATACAAATAGCCTTTGCCCGATTGTTCACGGAACCATTAATAGAAATATGGTCGATACACGACTTCAGATTATCACATTCAAAGTTCGATAAATCTGCTTGGTTCACATTTATCATGATTATATTTATTATCGTATAATGTTGTGTTGTTATTTTTGCCTTACTGTGCACAACTTTCTATTGAGTCATTTTAATATATTTCGCTCTGTTTTTACATTATTCAAATATAAATAGCAATACAGTGTAGTGGAATATTCTTTTTGTTAATACTTGTCTTGTATAGCTGGACCAGTTCGATAAAATAACATTGATGTTAACAGCTACTTAAATGCAAGCTAATCACAAAATATAAAAGTAATTAATAATTTATCTACGGTTCCAATGAGAAATACTATAGAAAATTAAATTGATATTCTATGTCATAATTTTTTTTATTTTTTTTAAATAGCCTACAATTTACCTGAGATTTCAAATCAAAATACTATCCAAATCATATTTGTCTTTTTCTAGGGCCTAAGATTATGCGTATAACCATCTATACAATATATTTCAGGAAAACAAACGTCTTTTACAATCCAAGTAGCGTTTGGAACTATTTAAGAACTATACTATGCTTTTAGTAGTTTTGCTCTTAAATATTCGTACACATATATCATAATTATAGTAATCGTAAAACTTTATTAAGAAAGGTTGTTTGATTTTCTGCAAGTTGTTTAGTTCGCAATCTGAAACAGCACTTGAGACACGAAGATTTTGAAACATACGTTTGAAAATCTGAACCAGTGGCCAACTTACCGTTGTTTTCTCTTTGAACCGAACTTCCATATGCGCTTTAAAAGCAACAGTAATATATTTCCAATTTATATTTTCACCTCAGAGCCTTTACCAAGCGTCAGATGAAAGTTGTGTGTTAAAACTTCCTGTTTTACAAGAAAAAAATATTCTTCCATCTTATTGATAAGGGCTGCATCGTATAAGGAAAGAAACGTAATAAGATGAATTGTGCAACCTACTTCATAACATGAATTAGACGTTCTCACTGTAGTCGTGTTAAGCCTAAAATATAAACACATTCATAAATAAGTTTCCCTGCAAAAAAAAAATGATTCTTCAAACATTGAAAAATTTAACTCAGAATTTTAAATCATAATTTTTCGTTAAATAATGTTTCCTTACTTGGTGTTAAAGTAGATCAAGAGATGTATATGATGAAGAACTGTCATTAGACGTGTTAAATGTAGTAGAATTTCTGGATAAATATAACTAAAATATAGTTATTTAAGTTTGTTTGTTTGTTTTTGAATTTCGCGCAAAGCTACACGAGGGCTGTCTGCGCTAGCCGTCTCTAATTTAGCAGTGTAAGACTAGAGAGAAGGCAGCTAGTCATCACCACCCACCGCCAACTCTTGGGCTACTC